GTCTCTGCTAAACAAGTTCAACAGCAAATATAAATAGAGTTGATCGAAACTTTAGCGCAGCGGCTCGTCTGACTTTCGGAAACCGCTTTGTGTGACACGCCGATAAATTCTTTTGGTTTCCTGTCTAATTGCATTACCGATTTCTTTCATGACGCTGATTCAGGAAACACTTTCGATGCGTAGTGCAGACGTTTAGAGGATATGTTTAGGACGGATTTCAGCCGCTATGATGACTCCTGGAACATGTGACTGCTGCTCCGCAAAATTGGAACACAAGAACCTTGAAGGTTTGTTGATCACATACTGGCAAAACAGCCAAAAGACCACAACCTTGGCGAAACGGCCTCACAACTCAATGAAATTACCGTTGCGTCGTGGTCTAAATCCAGCATTCGATACCACCGCCTGAAAATTGTTAAGCGGAACACAATCGACTATGAGGAGCTGTCAGACATTCAGCCGGAAGTGCGAACACTTCAAGTTCCTCTCTTTGACAAATGTCCAATTCAAGTTCTATATTTTTCGCTGGATGCCGAGATCCGCACAAGGCTGTTCTCGAAGCTGGATCAAGACCCGGTCACGACGTTTAAGTCCTTTTCGACCGAATGTAAGCGATTGCGGATCCTGAAACATGACACTGCTGTGGTCAAGGAATCTTCCGCACAGCCGTGAAAGGTCCATGCTGTGACAAATTGCCAACCCAACAGATCTGATAATTCTGCTCAAAAGTCACAGAACAGACCGTCTGCTGCAGTTATCCCGATTTTACCCTTTCAAGAAACACACCTGCCATAAGTTTTATAGACGAGGTCACTGAATACAAAACCCTTCCCCTCAAGAAGATGAAAACTATCGGTGCAGATTCCTTGTCACTCATTGCCGCTTTTCAGAGTGAGTTCAAAGCCTGCAGACAGCTCATCGCTGTACCTATAAACAAGAAGCTGCAATTTGATACGCTCCCTTATCTAACCATCCTTTCTAAGAGTAAGTGGAACCACATCAGGAAGTCCGAGACTGCTGCTTTTGACAGAGTGGCTCACATTGCGTCTGGCAAGGTGCTGTATCTGGAGAAATAACCAGCCAATCCACATTTAACGAAGTGGAAAAGACTGGGAACATGCTAACTGACGAACCGATGGTATCTTAACCTACTTAGAATCGACTATATCGAAAGGTTTTTGCTTCTCGATATTCCACTGAATCAGCTCTGTAACCGGTATATGCCGAATCCGCAGGCACGGAACAAAGTGTCTTCAGCCAGAGCGATGCTGAACGGGAAATTCTGCACGCCATTCGACACATCTTAATCCGCTCCTAAATCCTCCTAGGTAAGCGAAACCGTAAAGGTAGCAGTTATTCAATCTGCGACACGAAGTAAAGCAACGCTCTTTCTAGCCCAATGACTACTCGCACGCGACTATCGGATTGGCCACCCAGCATGGGCTCTACGTGAGATCAAGTGCCAATGTGGAGACGTCAGTTACGATGTGCCCACTGAACCGCAAACTTGGGTCCGTCATGCAAATCTGCTGCGCCAAACGCTGTCGGCCAGAAACCACGAAGCCAGCTGAACTGCCTTTTGATCTTGTTGATCATTTCAACTTACCGAAGCCCAATAGGGAGGGTCGCAGCCAATCAAACGATGCAGCCGATAGTCCAGAATCAGCTCCAAAGACACCTCATCTCAGTCGATCGACGGACAGACTGAGAACACCATCTTCAAGGCTGCAGGTCAACCCCAGTGTACCATCCTACACCACAGCCGCGATCTCAAGATAGATGTCCAGGGGAAGGTAAAATCTCCCGGGAAATCTCATTGTTTCAATGGGAAAACGATTTGTACCTGTTATATACGACCGAACCTTCAAGTCGCTTCAGGAACATTTACGTCCACCACATGCCGCTCTACCTCCCCATTTTCTAGCGGTACTGAAATAACAATCAGGGCGGCTGACCTAGCTGTTCTGAAATGTGAGCATTCTTGGGTTGACCTACAAATACCCATTGGTTTTGCAATACTTTTCCGATTCAGTAGCTGTTTTGCAGCACGTTTCTTGCTCCCAGTTGTTGTCTTCGATTTTGGCCAGAATTCAGAGTCAGCTGAGGGCGAAATCGTTTCAATCGGTTGCATAGAGGCAGATCTAACATGGACCATGCCCCACCTTTAGTGTCTAGTGTCAAACAGTACTTCAGTATCCATGCTTCCGCGTTGTCGAATTAACTTGTTTACTTGGTGACAGTAGTATTTTTCCGTTTCCTGGCTACAGGTTGCTTGGCAGCTATTACTTTCCCCACTGAACCCATTCGGTTTTTCCGCCGAAATGCAAACGATTGCGCAGACACGTTTCATGATGAGTGATTTTTTCCAGTAGTTTCTTCAAACCATTTTTCCATCTCTACGCGGCGGTATGCGACAGCAAGTTCAACCTGGTACAGGGCTAATCATCCCACAATTTTGGCAACATTATTAGGCCTTAAAGCTGATTTCTGGTGGCTGTCAGGTACAGCGTTAAGGTCAGTTGCGACGATGGCATAGCCACTTTTACAGTCCTCTGATTACGACCGTTGATACAACCCAGCCCATTTATTTCTCGGTAGTGATGGTACTGCCTCTATTTATTCGAGCTATTAATATGCTGTCTGCATGATAACAGAATGACCCTGGAGATTAGATTTGCCCGTTTACGCTATTTGTGTGAGTTTATACCTTGACGCGTCGGCCGGTGGCCGAGTGCTATGCGCGTCTGGTTTGCAACCTTAAGGTCACCGGTTGGAATCCGCTTAGGGGCGGGCGTCCTCGCGGTATACTCAGCCCACGCGCGACTGGTGGTGGTCGCGTGGCGGCGAAGCATCGTTACGGCGTACAGCAGGCGATTTATTTATTTTATTTATTATTATACCTTGACAGATGCCGTTTTTAAAAACAGGTAAATATTAACCCTAGAGACCTAACCGTTACACCCACTTGACTGTGGATCCGCTTCTTCGAGCCATCAAAGTGGTTTTGGTTTTGGTTTTGTCAATTACCAAAACCCACTTGATCGGCCTATCAAGCAGCATGTTCAGGTTACATCTATGTAATTGACTGCAGTTTTGCGGGTTTGTTCTTCCATTAAGTGCAACACTTCGCCAAAGTCATCAAGATTTACCTTTTCAGATGCAGTCATTTCTGGTCTCGCTCTGATTCCCTTTTGATCAAGAAACAATCAGTGTGTCCGAAACCTTGCCACTGCTCTATTAGACTGGTCTCTGTCACAAGCAATTTGTTGCATTGTAGACGGTGTATAGTGCCTCTCCATGGTTGCAGAACGAAGACTGTGATTTTATCAAGAATCCATTATGCATGGACCAAAGTCTATTTTCTGATGTACACAAATTTAAATCAATGTTTTATCCTTACCTTTTCTCAACCGTTATCGTTAGGTTTTCGATCCACGTGGTCGGGATCAGCTTGGAGCTGTCGACACAAGCAAATGTCGTAAGCTTGTGATAATTGAAGTGCAGATTTTGAGAGTGCACCGCACCTGAATAGAATTTGCTAAAATGCGCTAAAACAAATGACGTTATTCCGCGGATGTACCTGATTGCGTTTCTATAGAGACACGCAGGTATGTGTCTACTATCTCATTCGTTCACCCGTCTCTTCAGTACGCCTCCACCACCGTGTAGACTGATGGACTGTGGAGAGCAGCTGCGACCGAAAAGGGCTCAAAAGGGATTTTCTGACGTTTTCGTTTTCACATTTCCGTTCTTCTTTTACATTGACCGTATTGTCAGTAGAATTTTTTCTTATGCCTACTTTTTATGCTGCCTCTGACACGCATGCTGATCGAATATGCAGAAACATGTAGTACGTCATTCATTACATGACCACCTTACAGTAGAAGGATTATTCGATTATTTCTCAATACATTTCTTGACAGTATCTTGCTCTGTTCTCACCCGACCTTGGCATTTCCAGGTTGTGCAAAGTAGTCGATCCTCCAGGGTGGTGCCCTCTTTCTGCAACTAGGGAATTTAACGTATCACATCTAGGCGACGTAAAACGTCCCTACTCATTTCTACTGATGCCTGTTGTCGCCTCGTACTCATTTCTATTTCGCCTAACGATCTCAAGACATTGATAGTTAATAATAGTCAGGGTTTGCGACCCATTCAAAGGTTTCTGACTACCATCTCTTGATCAGTTCCGAAGTATGCGATCTTTGAGTCCACCTTTTTTGCCAGGTTTACGAAACAACGCGCTTGCAGTTGTTCCGACGACTGAATCCCATCCGCGATACATCATCCGATCGCTTGAATCATGCATCTAAGGTGCGCGTCTTGTGAAGCAGTGCCTGAGGTCGGAAAACTGAGTATCTTTGCCGGAATTTCTGCCAGCTTTACTTGTGCCTATATATGCGTTTGCTGACGCAATATAAACTTTTTAACTTGTTTTATGGAAAATTCATTTCATTTTCAATCTTTTTCATCCCTGTTTATTGGATTTCTCACATTGTGCTGTCCAGGTTGAAACAACCACATTCCCTCAAACTTCCAATTGCACCAAAATTAGAATTTGGGGACTTTATCGAAATGCGTGTTCAATGAAGTTGGCCGCATAATGTCCCCGAATTTTCTGAAATTGCTCTGCTGACCAGTGTTGGTTTACATGGTTTTTAAAATACTATATATTCTACCTGGGAGTTTTAATTCCTACGAAACATGTAACGCCATTCTTACATCCGTAGAAGTGGTGAAATTTCTGTTGACACTGTGGAGTGCAATCGATTAACCCTCTAACTGGGTTGTTAAATTACCTAGGAACTTAAATTAGCCTAAGCGTTTCTCTGCTTTGGTTGACTGTCAAGTCATCCACACTACAATCGTTTCCATTCATTTTTCACTTACCTTTGTTTTATTAAATCCATCAGGTTGGACAATTTGCGGCTGATGTAAGGCTACTTGAAGTCTTCTCTCTTCTTTACACCATTAAATATCAGATCCCTTTTTACTTTTAGAGCATATTGTGATAAACACCATATGAAAACCTTGAATACTGCAGATTTCGGCAAGGTGATGAAACGTGCTTTCCCAAATGTAAAGCCACGCCGATTAGGACAACGCGGTCAATCCAGGTGAGTCCCTAAGCTACTTCTGCTTTGTTTCTTTGCCTAACTTCAATGAAGTTCGATGCAAATTTTGCCTACAACTCACTTGCTTTGCGTAGCATTATCATTTACTACTGGATACTCACCGAATAGGGTGGTCTTGTTGTCGCATTTGTGCAAACCACCGGAATAGTTAGATACCCAGTGATGAACACACCAACACTCCACCCTCCCCAGGTGCATTTATTGCGGTCAAATTCGATCGGCTACAGTCACTGTTAATTTCCATTTACTTCCACATCGTCAGTCAGCTGCCATTCGACCACAAAAGCACTATACCAATGGTGGTGAGATAGCAGCGTGAGAGACAAACACAGTTGCATGTGAGAAGCCAAATGCATGAGGTCTACCGACTTCGCCAATCAACCCTGTTATATAAAACCCCTCTGGCCATTTTGATAACACTGATCAGCAGTGGTTTCTATGTCAGAGATACTATAGTGGTTTCAAGGTAATTCCGTGTCATTGATTCGGAACATGGTCTCGGTTCGCTTGATTATCTCTGGTGCACCCACCAAACGGCATAAACTGACAGAACACAAAAGAATGTGTAGTCTAAAAATCATCTGGTAATTGTTTTCTTCACTACAAATGAAGAAGCAGTGCACACCCATTGGGAACACCGCATGGGCAATTAATGTCTCTCGCGTCTCATATTTGGTACAGGATGAGCGAATGAACCGTTCCGCACCCTTATATCACGCACCTAGCTCTGATGACTGAGTCGCATGTTGCGCATACAAGCACCCCGGCTCCCTCTTCATGCGTTGCTTGAGCAACCGGAGAGGGGAGGCCAAGCGTTAACTTGATCAAGTAGAATAATAACCATTCGTACGAAGTTGTCCTCGATTGGAACTTCTGCTTCCTGGTTGGGGCTCTAAAGACGATGAATACGCTTTGTCGGATACACTTGTTGATATGGCTAGAAGCCGACCTCAGTGGTATTTGTGTTGCGTCTTTTTATCTCTCGTCCTCTTGCTTAACCTCGCCCTTCAACCACTCTCATTTCTAACACCTAATATAACGTTTTGCGACACAGTAGCCGATTTACGAGCTCTTGCTACGTGGTTCATCTGAAAAGTCATCTACGATGATCCAGCAGTAGTCCGCCATCGTTTGTCTGTCCCACCTACCCGGATACCCCTTTTCTATCACCTTCATATCCTCATGGAACATCTCACCTTGTTAAAGCAGAAGGAACTTGAATGTTGTTCTCCCGAAAACACTGCACTCCATGAGGCGTTTCGATGTTATTACATTTCATCAGCTAAAGACATCAAGCATCGAACCCGGAACTATTGGAATGTTAATCGGGACCGCCACCCCTAAGCCACCTGGTCATCAGTTACGATCCTAGTGATCGAATGGCCAAGATTCACTTCATTGGAAATCGTGATACACTTTGAGATTGCGCGTCGCAATCCACCCACACAACTTGTACTTCAAATTGACTCTCCAATCTGTCGTTAACCGTTGTGCCAAGCGTCGCCCGTTGTGACTCGGTGGTTTAGGGGCTGCGGTCACGATTAACATCCTAATGGTCCCGGGTTCGATGCTTGGTATCTCTATCTAATGCGACTTAATAACATCGAAACGCGTCATGGAGTGCAGTGTTTTCGGGTGAGCAACACCCAATTCGTTACTGCTTCATCAGCTACGGTCCTAGTGATCGAATGGCCAACGTTCACTTCAATGGAAATCGCGATCCACTTTGAGATTGTGCGTCGCAATCCACCCACACGACGTGTACTTCAAATTGACCTTCCAATCTCACCTTTTTTCACTGAGGTCACCAATATTATCCGGAATTCTGTCTACCTGATTGTGAAGAAAATGTAACTTTATGCTGATGAAGCAGAAGCAAATTGGGTGTTGCCCGCCTGAAAACACTGCACTCTGTGACGCGTTTCGAGGTTATTTCCTCTCATCAGATAGAGATAGCAGGCAACGAACCCGGCACCATTGGGATGCTGATGTTTCAAGATTTGCAAGCCTATTATCCGCCAGTTCTTTATTGTTTTTTGCTTTATGGTTACCCAGGAAGTTCTGGACAACAGCGACAAAACTATCCCAAGAATGTTTTAACACTGCTCATTTGAGGGTCATTGAAGATGTCAGCTTTCCTTTTTTCTATACTCGATGTAACGAATGATCTACAAATGTACTTGAAACACCATATTGTTTTGACAAATCGTTTCCTCAGCCCCAACTTTATATGATGTGCTGGGATAATAATTTTCTTCCTGTCAGCAAACCGCTTCTTTATGTCCGCTGCGCCTATATTCCTGTTTTCTCTGTCATAAATAGCATCCAGCCTTTCGGTTAATATATCGGTATGAAAGTTTTGACCGCACTGTGGCACCGCGGTGGTTACGTTTTTACCAGCTGCACGAGTGCGACCATGTATTCCGTAGGACGTTATTTTTCGTCTACCCGATTAATTGCCACTCCGACTATCGCGTGACAGCTACATCTCTTCTACTTATTCGTATAAGACTACTCCTGACGTTCTGTGCACTATATCATATCTGTAGGTATTGTTACGGTGGAATGAGAAAGAAAACAGAAGTTCAACCTCCCTTTTTGCCTGATTTGACGGAAGAGGTTCTCGGCCTCCCCACTCACTGCAAGCTGGGACATTCGGCCGCGTCACCAGGAAGCAGCTCTGGGGCTAGTGGCGATGCAATTCACCAGCATCGACGCCCGCTGTCCTCTAGTCCCCTCACCCGTCTTCTACAATCCAACGGACCGGAAGGCGAATCCCCCAGTTGGGCGGACGAGACTGCAATAAGGACGGCTCTTGGAGTCAGAGGTGTCGTTATATCAGATGTCGCGCACATTTTGCTTGAGTACGCACAGCAGGTGTTTGGTGTGCGCTTTCATTCGCTGTTTCACCTTGCCCAGCATCTGGTGACGAACCGTTATGTCAATGCCCGATCTCGTCACGCGTTCTCATTAATCGCTCATGCTGCCAACGCTTCCTCCACTCCGCTCTCCCCACCGCCATCTGCGGCCTTGGCAGAGGCTATTCAAAAAGGTAAGTGATTTCCTCAATTTTCCATGCTTGTCGTATGATTTCGTCTTGCACCTGCCCCCAGGACTAGTGAAGCATCAAATATTACCTTTACTCCTTCACTTTGTACTGTCTCATACTGCCGTAACCAGCATTATTTAATGAACTGTTTCTCCCCAGGAATCTCAAAATCCGCTTTTGATCGCGTCGGAAACGGTCGACTCAAAACAGATGGTCTTGAGCGCGCTGCCTACGGCAAGGCTGATGGAGGTTCGTCTCAATCAATCCAATCGAATCGATTATGTATTTGGTAATGTGTTTCCCACACTGGTTTCATGCACTTATAATTTAACACAAAATCCCACTACGTACCAACTGCTTCATCAATCCGCTGTAATGTCTGGCATCAGTTACTTTTGCAGCGAATCTTGACCAGCCTACTAATGCTCATCATCAATACCTGGGAACATACGCTGGAAATGAAGGCAAGTGTACCGACTAAACTTCAGTAAAAAAGACCATCTTTGGAAATGCAGCTGGAAGGTTGAAATCCACGAATCCCATTCAAGGGAGCCATCGTTTTTCCGACCCCGCTCTGCCGTGCAACTTCTGTACCCCGGTATGATGTGTTTCATGATACATCATACTCCAGACTTCGTCGTGCTCTTCTTGCCATAGCTGGCCTTGGCAGCCGCATAAGCAACGATGGGCGCCTAATCACTGAAGCCAGTTCACGTATTGCAAAAGCTAGAATTGTCTTCTTGAATTTGCGACATCTATGGCGTCAGAAATGCGTTCCCCTCAGTCTGAAAGGCTGTGATTACACGGGTACAGTGAGGGCCGTCTAATATATGGTAGGGAGACTTCCTCTTCAGTTTGAGGATCTGCAGCGCCTTTGATCCTCGCTACCTGCGCAAAATTGCTGGTGTCAAGTGAACCAACTTGTCCACAACGATGATGTGCTTAGGAGAGTGTTGGGCGGTGATTACCAGACTACTTCAGCAACAACAGATAGCACTGAGTAAGTTGCATTGGCTTGAGCATGTAGTACCTATGCCCGATTACCGAGGAGGGCCTTGTTTTGTTTACTACATGTAGGATGGCGATAGGCCCGAGGTATGCGAAAGTTAACTTGGCAGCGTAAAATGAGGTCACTGATTACAAACTTGGTGCTGTTGCTCCGTCTCGCCTTCCAGACTGGAGCCTTTGTTGTGCTTGACTTTAGATGTTACAGGACATGACTCGTAATCAGCACCAATGACTTGTCTGTTGTCGTCTCTTAGTCGGGCTATCTGTTTAAACTGTGTTTGGTGCTGACTTAACTGCGAGCTAATGTTTGAGTATGGCATGGGAAATTGAAACCCGCAAGGAAACTGTTCATCTGATGCCGCCTTTGCACGTATTAATGACCCGTCATCATGACTTGTGGGCCACCGTTTGTCCAGTATCGGACTTCAGGTTTCGGTGATTCCCGGCTTTGAAGATAGTACGAGTTAGACTCTTATGTACACTTTCTGTCGCGCTCCAAAAAGGGTTTACCACGGCATGCGCTGTTCGCTATGATTTAATGTATCCCCATCTCTTATCAACTTAGTGACGGAAACGTTCACACGCGAATCTGTCCTCCTCGGGTATAGTAATTTCCGTCAGGTAACATACCCGTAGACTTGGGGTACACAAGCAGTGTGGTTTAATATAAGCACGCTACAGTCTCGCTTCATTGGTCCGACGCAAAGTGCTACGCGATTTTTCATGTGCCTCACATCTTTAGAACGAGACTTAGTATCCTTGGACTGGGTCGACACTACTGGTTGTCGCGGTTACCGGACGACTTTACGTGTTAGATCGATTCATCCATCTAGCTAGTGGTATTAGCGGTACTTGTAGTATCCCTTACGATGAGCACCTCGAGGAAACGTTCGCTGAGCGTCTCAACAAGTCCCATGTGATTTTCTCGTCAATTATATATAAGGAGGGTGGGCAATTAGCCCCCCAGTCAAGGGAAGGGAGAGCGGCGGTCTTCAGTAGGACTAGTGTACTTAACAAGAAAATGGACGCTTCGAATCGGAGAAATTAAGATGTGGTTTTCATGGTGTATGATCGCATTACGTGGGATCACCAGATATGCACTTCCGTATTACTTTAGACTGCTCAGCAATAAATCTGGTACATTACTAGATGATGTTTAACACTTGAGCCACCTGCGTTGGCTTGGTCATTTTCATCTACTTGTTGACCATTTAATTGCGTTGTTCGAAACACTTCACATTCTTCAGAAATGCCTCGGAATCATACTCATCTAATGAAGAATGCAGAGATAGCCTGAGACGCTTATTCGGGGTGGTGAATTCCAATTCCTTTATTAGGGCTCATAGTATGCCACAACAGTTGTTATAGACGTCACAAGTTCAATGTCTCGGCCACTTCGGTCTCTTTGAACTTTACATCCTTAGATGCGATTTATCCGACCTTTTTATTTGGTCAACTATCGATCGTGTATTTTTAAACAAGCCTCCTTCATTACCGAAAATTATTATTTTCATGGTCGCCGATTTAAGTAGAGTCACCTCATTTCGGTGCTTACCCACACTTTATCAATATTGGCAAGGTGGAACTGAAGGAACAACCTCGGGGGTGTGTTCATGCGACCCTTTGACTCCTACTCCTGATACACTGTGCCAAGCGCTTGACCTGTGTCATAGTTATTGATTTGTGATTTGGGTTCAGCGTATGTGTGACTCACGCAACTTACGCCTGCGCGGCGTTTCCCATTTAGTGTACAGCTATTCTTGCGGTTTACTCTAATAGCCGTCGTACTACGCAGCTGTGTTTTCCGAAATCCTCTCGGTATAATAACTCCAACATGCAAGACTGTGTAGAGCAGGTTTATCCCAACCGTGTGACTGAAGAGTCGCATGGTAGCCTGCGTGGGGCCGACCGATCTCAATCTTTGAAGATGCCATACAACTAATGTATATTTCACTGCGGTGAGTGATGGACCCGTGTTTAGCGTGACGCACAAAGGAACTTGAACATGAACCGGTTGTTTTGAAGAAGACGGTATCAGTCTGAAGAACCACTAATGTGGCACAATTTAAACGTCGATCTGTCTGCGTTGATAACCTATTTCGCTTTGTAAAATTTTCCGGTATTTCCCTATTTCTTTATCCTGATAGTAATGAGACAAAATTTTCCTTATTTTTGTCGCTTGGTTGAATGGATCACCATCTGCCACGTTTGGTTGCAGTTTCATCGTGATGAACAATTTTTTAATATTGATTACATTTACCTTATTTTTCTCATTTGAATAGATGTTCAGCTGTACACATTTCCATTTCGATGTCAGCGTATCTCAGTGTCAACCAAAGGACTTGTTTTAGGCTACAAACAATGTTTCTGTATCAGTATTGAATTCACCGGAACGCATTTTATTTTTGCACTCTGTTAGGCCTTCGATTTGGCTCTTCAAATTGTGCATTCTTTTGAAGCACTTTTTACGATTAAACTAACGACTTCCTACTTTATAGCATCTATTTCCGGAGACTTATCGCGCACCCCAACTCATTTTCCGTCCACCGAAAGTGGCTCGCCCATGCGATTAACCTCGTCTTCGTCTGTCTCTACCAGCACCGGTCAGTTGGGCACCGTCAGCCAGAGCCTTTTAGCTCCCAATGTTACCCGTGATTTTCCCTCCCATCCAAACCCAACTGTGCTCTCTACTTGCTCCACACCGCAACCGGTGTACCGCTCATATCAACCAAATTTTTCACCCTTGTCTAATCAACTACACCCATCCGTCGGAAGCAACACATACGCTGCTGCTGCTGCTGCGTTGGCCTCCCATACATCCGCCCATGGAGCTCCGTCATACGCTGTTCAGACAGGACGTGTAAGTTTTCCTCGACTCACTACTGCAATCGTATATTTGTGCTTTACTTTCTTTGGATCAGTTTTCGCCACTACCAGCTTGCACATATGTTTGTTAATTTGACTCCTCAACTAAGGAACACTTTTTTCATCACATGTTTTTGTTACCATCGTGCACCGATCGCACCTTCATCTTCTAGTGGTATGCCTATTTTCACTTCCTTTCTTTTCCTTTCAGACTCCCTCGACAACCCTACGGCAATCCTCCGCTGCTGTTGCTTTGGCAGCAGCGGCAGCAGTAGCTGCACGTCAGCATGTTAGCTTATCTGGACCCTACTCAACCACTGGCACAACACCGGGTTACTCCTCATCTCTGTCAGTATGCAGCGCGTCCCCTGTTCCATTCACATCACAATTTGAAGTACTCACTCCACCAGCGGCACACAAGCATAAATCCTCCAAGTGAGCACCAATACATTTATCCTTGTGGTTTTATTACCATCTTTCATCATGGAAGCCGTACGAGTTGCTCGCTTGCGATGGGCTTGGCTGGTAAGCGATTCGACTTATTATTTCAACGCCCACTGCGTACCCATCGGAACGTGGAAGGTTACGCATAACCGCATTATTTTAATGCTCTACTGGGCAAGACAGCGCGCTTTTTAATCCGAGCAATAGGTACAGCTACGGATTATTACCGGACTCATAGAAGACACCCCGAGTTATCGTGAATCTTTTTGGGTGAAAGTGAGACTTGTGTACTACAATGGCTGATACTAAGCAGCAAGTTAACTACGTTGCAGCCTTCTCCTCGTCACTGACGCTTAAACATTGCACCATTTTATGTTGGAAAATTCAGCTGGCATGTTGCATCCCATTTCGTTTTCCATGTCCCTTTTTCACTCTTCTTATTTATGGCTTTCGCCTTAGTTGTTTTGCTGTTGATGTCTTAGTTTTAATTGAACTGTGCGATTTGGCTGCAGATGTTTTGTCGCCAATCGAGGCGACGTCTTCAGTGCGTAGTGGTAGTGATATCGAAGGCCTTGATACCAGGAGCTGAGCTTCACACAAATCCGGTATTGACTCACCCCGAAGATAATTAAACTTTTCAATACTTTTCTATACATTTGCAGCTGATAAACGCATCAGTATATCTGTTTTCCCATTGCCGTCGCGTGTTTGTGCTTCTTTTTGACGCTCCTGTGGATATAATCTCATGTCCTATGGATAACATTATTTCTCTTTTTAATCAATCACTCTTCTTGGCACTTAGGCTGAATGACACCATAGTATCTGCAACTTCAGTATAATTCGGCCTTCCCACCTGTCAAATGTCTACGTTATTTTTGTGCTTTTTTGTTTTTAACTGTTTATGTATCCATATTCCTCTAGCCTTGTTTCTTTTGTATTACAGTTTTACCTCGCCTTCTATGTCGTTTTCTACTCCAACGGATCCGGTTTACCCCAATGTATCTACCTACTTATCGCCTGCACCTATCGGTCCTGTGTATGCAGGCCAACAGCCCCCTGCTCCTTTACCACCTGGAGTGGGCGCTCGCAGCCCATATACTCCTATCGCCAACCCAACAACCAACATCTCCGATTCCAACCAATCCGTTCACAAACGCAACATCCCCCCTCACCCAACTGATGCACCTGGAGCGTACGAACCTTCGGTGTGTGTTCGGTGTTTATCCTTTTACCTGTCACGGTGGCTTTTGGATCTTTTAGTTTATAAACAATAGGGTTGCTCCAAGCTATTCACACTATTCTGCTCCGTTCCATAGTTCTGTACATATGAACTAATTTAACTCAACTTTTATGCGATTTTTTGTTGGATAATTCTTTGGCGGATCCACTCTCCTCCTAGCAATGCCCACCATGGTGAAGCCCACTTTCTCTAGCGATGTAGTAGTACAGCTTGATGATACCCCCTTGGCTTGCATCGTTGGGTCCAAACTGATCGTTCTGATTGAGTACTCAGGCCAACTGGCTGCCCTCAATCGTATCATCGTTGTCTGGTTTCCCCTTATCGAATTAAGTACGCGGTTTCACTTCACCTTGTTGACCAGTGTTGACTGATTGTTTGGAGTCACCCATACAACCTATCACTGTGGCCGACTGCGGATATGCCCCTTCTACTTCTACCGTTCTTTTTTGGTGCTGCTAAATCGTTAGTATATTAGTATGCAGAATCAGACATCAGCAGCACGCCGGTGCGCAGTACCGACGCTTCACTGCCACGCAACCGCCGCCAGTCACATGTGAGCTAGGAATACTGCGTTCTCGGATTGCAAGGCAGGCTTATGATCCTTAAGACTATGGGCCGACAAAATGTACATAAAGCACTATGGGACACACGAATTTGTCCCACGAACGTCTCGCCGTTATTGGGAGAAGTTTCGCAGCAACCCGCATTGCTAGTACTGAACCGCTTCAAAATTTATCAGTTGATTCTCATCCGAGACGTCACTTTAAAAAATTGAATGTAGCCGTAACGCTAAGTCGCCCAGTCGCCGCCTCTTCTACAAATAGCGATTTTTTTCGCCTGGTCATACGCTCTTTTTCATTGCCTTGGATGCGGTGCAGCTACATTTCATCTGGCTAATACTTTTCTTTTCGGTTTATCCATAGCCTGCCGGTAAACGCACCAGCGCTGTTGCACTGCGTTCACGCTCCTCTTTTCGGCTAATGCGCATAATTCCTGACTTAAAGACACTTAACTCGATTACATCATCAGTTTTGTACACCCCTCTTTAACTGACGTCTTGGTTTTTCTCACACCTTAGAATAACACTTTCGCTTCTTTTCTCTTTTAAGCCTCGATTTCATTTGGGCGGACAAAGCCCTAATAAACGCGCTCGATATTTGTCCACAGCATCTGGGTCCAGTGGAAGCAACTCTATCTCAGCCGAATGTCCCACCATGGCTTCAGGAAGCACTGAGTGCGTTGAACAATACAGTGATCCGTCTGCGACAATACACGCAAGTGTTGCTTCCGCATCTCCAGCTAGTAGCGGCGGTAGCGGTGTGAGCTCCCATCACCCGCTCTCTACGACTGGATACATTGGTCGCTCAGATCAGCATCACACTCTGAATATTGGAGACCAGCGTGGCACCGTGACTTCTCCTTTTTATTCCAGTCGTTACGAAGGTCTAGAGATGCGCAGCCCCGCTCCGCATCATAGCACTGGAAGTAATCACCAACTGGATCGTTGTGTCAGGTCATCGAACGTTGCGCCCCGTGATCCCAGTCCGTGGTCTGTAAGTGTTTCTCGTTTACTAGCTTTTCGTCTCGGTTCTTCTGCCGGGGATTATGCTGCTATGCATCTCATAACCAATTCGTTCCTTGCCCTTGAGTTATTCGCTGTCTTAACGAATGAAAAAACGTTTGTCGTTGTGTGCTATTGATACATCTATCTGATATCATAATTTCGTAGGGATTCCCAACTTCAGTTCAGAGTACGACGGCCTATTCATATTCTTCCTGTCTGACTGACTCTCGATTTTATTGCTTTGTAACCTGTGAGGAAGTTTTCTTCCTCTTGCCCCCTGCACTTTAGTTTGAAACAATAGTAAGGTAAATTTTTTACATGGTCTTTCTTTCATTTCGAAAATTGAACGCCTATCTTATTCGTTGTTTAGCTTTTATTTACTCTTCATTTCAGTCGAACGGCGTTGCGGTTAACGGGGGTTCAATGTCACTTGCACAACCTGGCGGTTACAATCCCTCTAACAATACTGTCGTTTTCAGGCCTCCTGTAACTCCATTCATTCATGAACTGGAAGATGACGAAGGTTTGGCTAATCTTCCACGACTGGGTGTTTCACCAGGTCCGCAAATCCCCCCAAGTTCACCCACTGAATTTCTCCCTTTTTATTCGGAAGCCGCCTCAAAATCTGCTCACGCACATCGTCAGATCAGCGGATCACAGTCATCAAAACAAATGACTACTCCGGACGGTGTGGAATGCGGAAACGTTGAATCCGTTACATCTCCACAAGTTTCTATGCGTTCAGACCATTCGGATATTCGTTGCTATACTGGTCCGATCGTGGACCTTGAAACTCCTCCCTCTTCAGCTTTAATGTTATCGTCCGAAGGGGTGTGTGCAAATGGCATGGTCTCACCAAATTCACCATCTGGATCGGACAACTCGCGCGATCGAACACTTACTAGTTTCGATACTTACGGTGTAGTACACACTCCGTCAATCCCAGGAGGTCTTGCCAACGTTCCATCTCCTTCCGATAATGTAAATAACGACTTATTGCTCCTGCAGCGTAAGTTTCCTTTGCTGCCATTCGTATCCATGAAACCCTGGTGTCTTTTTTTACCCACCCCATACCTTTCCGAATTTTGCTTCGCTTGAAATCCAAAATGCATGGATTATTTTATCAACAACTTGCTGTTCCGAACTTGCATTCCCGGTACACCAAATTCAACGGGTTGTTTATTTGCCTGGCGTTAAGATCCATTCGAAGACTCCGACTATTTTTTGGCTATAAGTCATCGAATACGTTGTCGGTGATCATCGATACACCGAGTTCTCTGATTTCTTGCGCTTCATCTCATGATTGTCTCGTCACTCTCCTGGAGCTCAAGTTCCGCGTACTTATCGCTTGTTCAGCCCTGAGTTGCGGACGAAATTCCTTCCTTTGTGTCGGACTCAGCTGCTGTGTAATCATTGTTGGCGCTTTGTGCTGTGCTCTTTGGGATCTACGTTGCATTTTCAAAACGCAAGTGAAGTCCAACTCACTACTAGTTCCCACCATCACCGAACAGACACTCGAAGGTGCCAACTCGTTTACAATTTGGGATATATGTATCTTTTCTGGTCGTTGCATCGCAGAAGCTCTTGTGAGCATGGCTGGATGTAAGATTAGTAGTTACGTTAATATTTTTTGACAGCGCATTGCCACTAATGTGTTACCGCTGCTACTCGCCGAGGACATTTGAAGAATGCTGACATTGAATAAGGTCACAGAACCATCATCATTACGCACGTTAGCTAAAGGCGAGAGACACTCCGGATGTTGTGCCCCCATACAAAAGGTATATTAGACATAGTGAAATACTTATCACTACATAAGAAAAACAAAACTGCAGTGTAATATGCCTCACAAATGAGGTCGTGTTTATAGGAGCAAGCTAAAGTGGATGGTAGGGCCGAAGAAACTCGCAACATGAACGCCATTAAAGTAAAGTCTTTGACATGTGTACCCAACCAAACATGTTCATCGTTCTTGCCCCAACCAAGAAGTCAAGTCTCCATCGAAGTGAGGTCATTCATTCCTCTTGACCGACTCATAGGCTAGCCTTCTTCCATCCAGACCGGTCGCGTAAACAACACACGTCGCAGAAGTCTGTGCTGACATGCGCAACACGCGGCTCAGTCATTGGAGCCTGGTGCGTGATATAACGGTGTTACGCCGTTCACTTAAACTAGATCTTCTTAACCTGGATCAAAAGTATTCCACTTTATTTGATTTTCTCACTTCTGTTATTCTGTTACGTGTTCCGTGTCAATTTTGCTTGTTTACTTTTCCTCAAATTCTGTGTTAATTGTTTGTTATCCCCGGTGTGGCCCCGCTTGATGTGAATGTTGACTATGTGTCCACCCGTCTAACACCCTCCACCTCTATTACTGGTTCCACAAGACTGCTACTCTATGCCACGGTCCTCGTGGCCGTGCTAAGCTCAAAGAGTGATCCCATTCAGTGTGGAACGGACTATAGCCCAAGCACAGCCTTGTGTACGTCTGGTACGCAAGATTCCCTACATTGATAGACAGGACAGCTGCTGCTATGCATGTTGGAGGAGTGTGGGCCTGCTCCGTTGATGAGCCGTGGGTCTCGTCCACATACCTCCCGGTCTTATTCCTTCTGGTTTACACTGGATGTGGTGTGTGTGCAAGGAGGTGTGGGTGATGCAGCGCATGCCACCCATGGTCCCTTTGTAGGCGCAGGCGTGCTGTGGCGGCCACAGTAGCAGGCAAATCCGGAACCGAATGCCATCAAACCATGTATGGTGCAGCGCAAGCCACCCATGCGCAGGCCTCCTTTGGAGATGTCAGTGACAAGCAAATCCGGAACAGGGTGCCGCTAACCAAGCGGGCTACTCGCTCCTTCCGCACTAAATACGGGACACCGAACACGCTCATTGCTTACGTTCTTTTCCCGCCTGATATGAGCTAAACAGCGAAAGCAGCGATGGCGGAATGTCTTTAGGTCTGTTAGTATGGGGGCCAGGTTTCATAATCGTACAGGGGGGTTGAGCGCACGGATGGGTTGTGATGTCGCGGATGTGCCAGCTGGAGGAGATTAGCAGAAGCGCTTCGATCTATTGTTATGCAGTGCTTGATATCGTCTTCTTTTGCACAGGCACTTATACAGCTGTCTAAATACTAATATTTCTCGATGACTTCTAACTGATCACCACCAAGGGTTAACGCCGGAGTTGGTCCCCTTCGTAGGCGCAAAGCATAACGGGAAACGACTAGGACTACATCGTCAGTTTAGTGTCTAGTTTCTGTGCGCTCATAGTGTCGTAGCGAGCGTCCACTGAGGCGAACTCGACGGTCAGCACACACAATTGCTTGGCCGGAGTCCACACTCTCGTTCCAAATCGAGCGATATTTTAGAACGCATCTCTCTAACGTTAACTGATTGTGGTGTGGTCGATTTACCTTTATAGCTCGTTTGAGGCGACTAGACAACATGTCGCTCTTCTGCGGGTTCTGTGTCGGACGTTAGTGTTCGCTTCACACCAGTGTAGCAACCGCTCATCGTTATCATTACGGGAGTCTACTCCGTGTTGTCCACCCAGATGCAGCACATCAGTGGAGACTTTTCCAATATGGGCATTCAGATCACCAGCAAGCACCACAGTATCCGTACTATTTCTGTAATGACGGAGTTCGTTCCGTTGGTAGAAGTCCTCCTTCACCAAATCAGCCCTACAGGTTATGTGTGCGTAAGCAGCACTGACAAACAGGCACCGTTTGTCTCTGCGTGACTTCGTTGCTTTGAACGAGCATGCCATTCTGTTGCGCAAATCCGGTTGTTGATTGAGATCTAATCGATCAAAGCAGCTTTAACCCGAAAATTCGTAGCCTTACCCGTACCGGATTTCAAGCTGCGTCGTTTCCAGACGAGCTTGATGAGAGGGTTGCATATGTGGGATCTTTGGGTAGACACAGCTCGAATCTTTTAGACAGGTTTTCGATAAACATCAAATGTTGTTTGATAGGGTCTCAGGGATTAGAGCTGGCGTTGCCTGTTGGCCAGTCTGTAACAGTGCGCACGCGGAGACATGCCAGGCTTAGCGAGGATCGATTGCCCCAAATACAGACGGATGAACTGACGTTGTCTGCTTACCTGATCATGGACTTGTCAGCCGAACCGAAGGGACGCCTTGCGATTGCGTGTGAGTCGCAACTAGAAGATAAGCGACTATTGGAGCAAGATGGGAGTGGCCGAGAGTTTGTGTTTTCATAAACTAGGGAATACAGTTTAATTTCGATGGACACGCCAAGGATGCAAAAACACTACAATGGAGATAAAAAGACAGGAAGGCCTGAGAAGTAACATTCTCATCCCTGTTCACCTTGATCGATGCAGCAGGCCGGGCGCCGTTGATTGTCTTTTGAGACGGCCAGAACATCAAGAAATAATTTGAAGAGAGCTTCTGACCTTAGAATTCGGGGAACCAGTTCTCATAGTGGATCCACAGTACTTGTTTATGATCCTGTAAGAATGTGAAGCTGTCCGAATGGGCTGAAGCTTATCAGATTTTCAATGAAGATTGATGTTCAAAATTCGGCAGTTTTAGAAATGCCATGCCGCTGTCCACCACTTCTGTCGTTCTCCGTCAACTAATTCAGATTCGCGAAATGCCGGTCCTCTATGTTTCTTATATCTATGATGACAATTAATAGTAATGTGCCAGTTGTACGCCATAATGGCGCTTGGCTGCCGTGCGACCACCACCAGGCGGGCTGAGTATACCTCGAGGAGGTCCACCCCTACGCAGATTTTTTTTTGATGTCTTCCCCAAGGAACAATAAAAAGATTGGACTTGGTCGATTCATGATTAAAACTTTTTATTTTCATGGCATAAAATAGTTGGAAACGAACAACAGCCAGCGAAAACGGTAGATTTGCTATATTTATCTATGATAGTAACGCATCTACAGTTTCCGCTGGCTCTATTTCGTTTTCGATTGTTTTATGACATGAAAATACAAAGTTTTATTCATACATCGACCAAGTCCAACCTATGTATTGTTCCTTGGGGGAAGACATCATTCAGAAATACAACGACACCTGTGAATACACGAACCGTATCGCAAAAGTTTAAGGCGCATTTGATAATCTTCAACATTCCCGCCCCCGGCATTACATCACTCTTACTGTGAGAATCAGTTTACGATGCACAGTAGCTGAGCTATTTTCCAACTTTAGCTAACTTGTATTGTAACAATGATGGTGATCTTGTTTGACGACATGTCTGCGAGCGAGAGGAGGAGGATGCTGACGTTTCTCATCTGTTGTTGGACTCCAGATGCTCTGGTGCCTTTGCTGGCACGGTTATATACCCCACATGCTTCAATGTGTGCTTTTTTCCAGTACAGTGCCTAGTTCGATGTGGCGCTGATTTGTTTAATCCGTGACATGCCGAAGTGTACCATGAGGAATTCGATTGGAAGGTCAGTCGAGTCAACGCTTATCGCCTTCCTCGATGATGTTTTCGGGTTCTGCTACCTATATAGTTGGATATCCTGTCGGCCATGGCACTGTTAGTGGCACTAGTGACACTCTATGATCCGTTTCACATTTATGATCTTTTATTCATATTTTCCTGGATTCTTATCGTATTATTATTATTACTATTTTCGCTTTGGTGATGTATGTCTGGGGAAATGGAATCGCCGCACTTTGTCACACGGATCGAAGCTGCCAGACTTAATTTTCGGAGCCTATCTGCCTGCCATTGGTCCATTACATACACATACATATTGTATACCGCGTGCCACTTATTAGCTATTCTTAACATGACCCAAGTGGATCAACAGGTCGACGCTTCTTGCACAATGAACGGTTGCTAGTGCAGTCAGCGCGTAGCTTTCACCAATATCTGTAGTTTACTGAACAAGCGTGACGACCTGTACCACTTCGTTGTCTCTCAGCAGTCGGAAATTCGTGGATTCACTGAGACCTGCTTGAACCTTGACGTAACTGTCCAGGAAGTTCATCTCATTGTATACTCGTGTTTTCGGTGC